TTTTTTTTTTTTTTTTTTTGTTTTTCGAGACAGGGTTTCTCTGTGGCTTTGGAGCCTGTCCTGGAACCCCATGACTGATTTTTGAACAAGGAAGATAATAAGTGGTTCCTTAAAGACAAGAACTTAAAAGCAGTAATAAAATTATTACTGAAGTACACATAAAATATTTAACTCATAGACACAGGATGTTGACAGAAAAACATTTCATATTTGTTTGAACAACAGTTAGATTGAGTACACTGCAAGGAACAACAAGCTAACATAACAAATATCACCTGTAGCTTTTTTTTTTTTTAAGTGGCCCTTGGTATTAAACCTAGGATTGAATAAATGCTAGGCAACCACTCTATCACAGGCCACACTCCCATATCCACAAAACACTGCCTAAGTCCTCTATGTTCCTTTACAATGTTTTTTGCTTACTTGGTGAGGTTAGCTTTCCCACGGGACTCACGAACTTGTGCCAGTAGAAGATCTGGACATAGCTTCTTAGCATCATCTGCCCACATGTTTCTAGTGACCCCAAATGCACGAGCTTCATAACTCACTGCAATAATTCTAAAGTTAGGGAGAGAAAAGGAAACAAAACCAAAAGTATTACATGATCTCAAACAACAAACGTTAACAGAAGTAGGCTGTAAACACATAAAATTAGAAATTTTGTGACCCCAGATGCTATTATTCAATTACAGACACAGCAGTTCAGAAACCTCAAAAATAAGACCTAGAATAGAATCATTGAGTTTCCATAGACTAAAATACTAGTGGGGTCTGGGGTGATGGTGAAGTATTAAGAGCACTGCTTGCTCTTTTTACCCGGGCTTGATTCCCAGCACCCAAATGATGGCTCATCAGTAACTCCAGTCCCAGGGGATCTGACACCCTATTTTGCCCTCTGTGGGTACTGTATGCAGGTGGTACACAGACACAGAAGTGGACAAAACACACACGTAATTTTTTTTTAAATACTAAGAGGGGCTGGAAAGATGGCTCAGTCTCAGTAAAGTATCTGCCATGCAAGTAAGTAGACCTAAGTTGGAATCCCTAGGACCCACAGAAAAAGCTGGGTGCAGTAGTACATGCCTTTAATTCCTGGTCTGTGAGAGCAGAAACAGGTGGCTCTCTAGATTTGCTGACCAGTCAGCCTAGCTGAATCTGATGAGTGTGAACATGTACACACACACACACACACACACACACACACACACGACACACACACACACACACACACACACACACACGACACCATCAATTATACATACCCACCACCTTTCCATGATTTGTACTGTACAACTGCACAAGGTTTATTCCTCAAGTGAGGATTTTGCCGCTGTTCCACCTGGACAAAAAAACAATCCATATCCACAAGAGCAACCACTCGATCCTGCCCAGCAGCCATTTATTCTGGAAGACATTCAGAAATAGAAAATAATTAACCTAAAATACAAAAACACAACAAAAGACCCCTATTATATGTCTACCATGTGTGGTAGGTGCACATCTTTGATCTCAGCACTCAGGAGGCAGGGGCAGATAGATCTTTATTGAGGTTTATTGGGGTACCAGCTCCTAAACCTCTCAGGATCCAAAAGGAATGCTACAGCAAGTGCGGGAACTGGCTATAGGAATGAGAGTAAAGGAATCAGCTCACACATATCTTCTTATCACGTCCCATTTATTCTTCTGTCCTGCTGCAAAAGTTTCGTCTAGCTTATATACACATATAGACACAATCAACAATTCTCTGGCAATAGCACGGTACAGGGCTGGAATTCCTTCAGGGTCATTAAAGGCACAAATAAAAGAAAATAAAATAAAAACACAGAGACAGATATTGGGGTTCAAGATGAAGATCAGAAAAGCAAAACAGTCAAGCCACTAGAGAAGCCTCACCTCTACCAAGGCTGGGTGACTGCAGCCTGAGCCCTGAGCCCTGTCATTTCCCGTTTTATATTCCCCTTTAGTGCTGGGATTAAAGGCTTGTGACTCCTTAGTACTGGGATTAAAGGTGTGTGACATCATTGCCTGGCCTCTAGTGGCTTAGTTTTACCCTCTGGTCTTCAGGCAAGCTTACTTATTAAAACATAAATAAAATACCACTACAGATAAGGATTTTTACACAAAGCTGTAGCTGTCAGCTTACTTTTTGGCTCAAAGTAGGAGTGGTCTGTGAAAGCCTCTGTGAACTCTTAAGGGGGAAGGAGGTTAATTAAGAGAGAGAAGCTAGGGAGGGGGATCCATGTGCTACAATATATTCTTAAATGACTAAGTGAATAGCTAAACGTTTGTAATCAGTAAAGCCACGAGCAAGGCAGGAATCATCCTTTACTCGACGCAGTAAAGAGCAGAATAGGGGTAAACTGAGGTTGCTCTCCCAAGTTGACTGTGGGAGAATTCAGGGCACCCAGTATATATTCTATATATCAAAATTATACAGTAAATGAAAAGTCCTCTTCCAGGCTAGCCACAGATGTATGAGCCCAGTAGATGAGATAAACAGTGGGAAACAGTAAAGCTATTCCTAGGGAAGAGATGAAGTGACTCATAAGAGAAATTACAGAGAGGACCAGCCCGTTTCCACAGCCAGTAACTCCACAGCCTTTCCAGGTGTGGCTCCCTATGACCCATCTGGTAGGTCAGTCTGTGGAATACTAGTCTTCCTGCTATACCTCTCATGGCCCTTGATGGATCTTCAGGTCTACACAGTGAGACCCTTTCTCAAAACAATAGTAACAACTGTATTTTCACATTCTAACTGATGAGCCACAGCATGAATAGGAGCATGGGAACTAAGAAGAATGGAAGGCATTTCCTTACTGTTGACATGAGAATAAAGTAATATAATTGTATAAAGGTAATACATAAAGCTTTAAATACAGTTTCAGGGGGCTCAGATTCTCCTGCCCTTATTTCCCAAGTGGTGGGATTACAAGCATGCATCAGAACACCTGGCTACTCATTCTCAGTAACAGACATTTCATAAATAGCCAAAGTTGCCTGTCTTATTACTGTTCTGTTGTGTGAAGGGACACCATGATCCAAGCAACTCTTATAAAAGAGAGCATTTAATTGGGTGCTTGGTTACAGAGGGTTAGTCCATGGTCATCATGGCAGGAAGCAGACAGGCATGGGGCTGGAGCGGTAGCTGGAAAGTGTTACATCCTGATCTATAGGCAGAGAGAAGTGACTGGGCCTACTGTGGGCTTTTGAAACCTCAAAGCCCACCCCCAGTGGCACAGCTCTGCTGTGGAATAATCCTCCCTACATTGTGAATATATATTCCTCTCAATGGTTAATAAAAAGTTGACAGGCTGGTAGTGAGGCAGGAAGCATAGGTGGGACAACCAGGAACAGATGACTCTGGAGTCAGAGGAGACTCCAGCCAGAGGCCGAGGAAGCAGGTTGTGTAGAAAATGAGGTAACATGTCAACAGGCATGGCGCAAAGCATGGATAAGAAATATGGGTTAATTTAAATGTAAGAGTTACCTAGCAACAAGCCTGAGCTATTCGCTGAGCATTTATAATTAAGACTGAGTAGTTATTTGTGAAGTGGCTGCTGGGACAGGGAATTTTCACTTAGCAGCCCCTCTAACAAGGTCACACCTCTAACTCTGTCCAAACAGTTCCACTACCTAAACCAAGCATTCAAACACATGAGTCTATGGGGGTGGAAAAGTCACTGTCACTCAAACCGCCACAGTGCCTAACAATGGACTCAGCATCGTAATTCATAGGAAAATGAACATTAAAACTACTCAGACCAAAAACCCACAAAGTACACTAGGTAGAGAGGGCAAAAGGGTAATCTAGTTGATAGATAAATCCTAACTGTAAATTTAGGAAAAAAAGAAGAAAATGTTGTATATCAATCAACCTCAGGGAGAAACGGGTACACTCATCCGTTGCTGGTGGGAATGCAAATTTGTGCAACCACTTTGGAAATCAGTGTGTCGGTTTCTCAGGAAATTCGGGATCAACCTACCCCTGGACCCAGCAATACCACTCTTGGGAATATACCCAAGAGATGCCCTATCATAGAACAAAAGTATATGGCCGGGCAGTGGTGGTGCACGCCTTTAATCCCAGCACTCGGAAGGCAGAGGCAGGCGGATCTCTGTGAGTTCGAGACCAGCCTGGTCTACAAGAGCTAGTTCCAGGACAGTCTCCAAAACCACAGAGAAACCCTGTCTCGAAAAAACAAAACAAAACAAAACAAACCCAACAGTATATGCCCAACTATGTTCATAGCAGCATTGTTTGTAATAGCCAGAACCTGGAAACAACCTAGATGACCTTCAATGGAAGAATGGATGAAGAAAGTATGGAATATATACATATTAGAGTACTACTCAGCAGTAAAAAACAACGACTTCTTGAATCTTGCATACAAATGGATGGAAATAGAAAACACTATCCTGAGTGAGGTAAGCCAGACCCAAAAAGAGGAACATGGGATGTACTCACTCATATTTGGTTTCTAGCCACAAATAAAAGACATTGAGCCTATAATTCGTGATCCTAGAGAAGCTAAATAAGGTGAACCCCTGTCTCGAAAAACCAAAAAAAAAAGATGAACCCCCCCCCCAAAAAAAAACATATAGGCATCCTCCTGAATATTAACCTTCATCAGGCGATGAAAGGAGACAGAGACAGAGACCCACATTGGAGCACCAGACAGAAATCTCAAGGTCCAAATCAGGAGCAGAAGGAGAGAGAGCACAAGCAAGGAACTCAGGACCGCGAGGGGTGCACCCATACACTGAGACAATGGGGATGTTCTATCGGGAACTCACCAAGGCCAGCTGGCCTGGGTCTGAAAAAGCATGGGATAAAACCGGACTCTCTGAACATAGCAGACAATGAGGACTACTGAGAACTCAAAACAATGGCAATGGGCTTTTGATCCTACTGCCCCTACTGGCTTTGTGGGAGCCTAGGCAGTTTGAATGCTCACCTAACTAGACCTGGATGGAGGTGGGAGGTCCTTGGACTTCCCACAGGGCAGGGAACCCTGATTGCTCTTTGGGCTGACTAGGGAGGGGGACTTGATTGGGAGAGGGGAGGGAAATGGGAGGCGGTGGCGGGGAGGTCGCAGAAATCTTTAATAAATAAACAAAAAAAAATCAACCTCAGATTGAAAACATTCAGGAAAAACCATGCACAATGACTGTATATGGATACTTCCCATCATTCTCTATGAGACACAGATTATCTATTTATATAGTACTTATATTGTGCTAGGTATTAGGATTTGAACTATTTGTGAGAGGGTGGGGTGGGATGTTTCTCACTGTTAGAGCTCTTTCCTAGCATTCTCAAGACTACAACTTTGAACCTTAGCAAGTGCCTCTGTATGTATGTGTGTCTATATATACAATGGCATAGGTCATATGCAAACACTACATATGACATTTTATTTATTTTTTTAATATTTATTTATTTATTTATTATGTGTACAATATTCTGTCTGTGTGTATGTCTGCACGCCAGAAGCAGGCACCAGACCTCATTACAGATGGTTTGTGAGCCACCATGTGGTTGCCGGGAATTGAACTTAGGACCTTTGGAAGAGCAGGCAATGCTCTTAACCACTGAGCCATCTCTCCAGCCCCTACATATGACATTTTATGTAAGAGACCCAAGCATCTGCAGTCTGGGTATCCTGCAGGCTTCAGGAAGAGTATTCTGGAATCAATCTTCCTGTGAATTTGGAAGGACTATATCTATCTATCTATCTATCTATCTATCTATCTATCTATCTAAAATATCATAGCATTCATGCAAAATTGGAAGGGGCATGAGACAGGGTCTCACTGTGTAGCTCTGGCTACCCTGTAACTCCCTATAAAGACCAGGTTGGCTTCAAAGTCACAGAGATCCAACTGCCTCTGCTAGGACTAAAGGTGTTTGCCACTGCAACTGTCATCAGGTAAAACTGTTTATTTTGAAATAATTTTTAAAAAATTTGGATACAGAGAATAGTGGCATGCTTCTGTAATTCTAGCACTCAAGTGGCTAAGGCAAGATGATTATAAGTTCAAGGTCAACCTGAGCTATGTAGAAAGAACTTTGTTCCAAGAACACATACACACACACACACACACACACACACACACAAAGAGAGAGAGAAAGAGAGAGAATAATCTAATACTACATAAATACCCTGTTTCTCTGCAAACTTTCAACAGCTCCTACCTTGTGAGGCTCCTACCTCTTACAACTACTTTGTGGGGCTTAGTGATTTTCTATTTGTGCAATTCCTTTGTTGTTATGAGAAGTGTTTATTTTTTCTTTCCTCCTGTACTTACTTATTTTTAAAAGACAGATGTCACATAGCCCAAATTGGCCTCAAAACTTGCTCTGCTAACCACTGAGATTACATCATGATTTTTAAAGGTCCTCAAGGCACGTACACTACACAGCAGCTTTGCATACCAAGGGCATATCATAACTAACACTTTCACAGGAACACAGGAAATTCATGATTTAAATACAAGAAACAGGTTATACAGATGAGTGAGTACCTAACCGTAACTTGAATTTTTCTTTTTCAAATGAACATTCACCTTGAAAATAAGCTGCAGTATTAGTGTAAAGATAATAAATAATTAAAGATCGGAATGTTAGAGGCCTTAACTCCTTACAAATCCATCTAATCACTCACCTACGCAAGTCAGGCGTGCCTTTGTTTCTAAGAGGTTTTTCTTTAATACTGGAACAGATAAAGCCAGAAAATGGCAAATGTGCTGCCACAATCAATACAGGGAAGTATTCGATATAGATATCAGATGTGAAACAAGAATCTGTGATTTAAGGGCAGCAAGCATAAACATAAACTAAGTAGAAAAAAACACCTTATATGTGTTTCTTTTGTACTAATGTCTGTATCAGTGTAAAATCAGCGCACTGCCGAAACATTGCTTCCGAAAGGATTATGTTAATTTAGGGTTTGGCTTTTTTTCCTTTTTTTTTTTTTTCTGAAGCAGAATCTCACGCTGTGGCTCAGGCCGTCCTCAAACCCGAAGCAATCCTACTGTCTCAGCCTCCAGAGGCGTAGTGGGATGCGTTTTAAAACATTTTGGTTTACCCCCTTCTGTACAAAACACATCTGGAGCGTAGTAACACGCACAAGAAAATATGTACCGGTGAAGAGGAAGGTATTAGTTACAAGTAAATAATCCTTTCAACAAGACAACACTCCTTAGAGACCATTTCAGGGCCTTCTCGCCACTGAAGCAGGTTTCCACTTCGGCCAAGTATACCCCCAGTTATCCAAGAAAAACCAACAGCCAAGGCAACGGAAGCAATCCGACACAGCGATTCCGAACCCCGAGTTTTAATGTCCTTACCCTCGGCGGCGGGCACCTGTCAAAACTGCCAAGAGCAGTGCTGCGGGCTCCGGGCTGAGTCCCCTGGAGGGAAAATGACGGCGTCTACACAATCTCGTCGCCTTCCCAGGAGCAGGTCAGTGGGTTCCGAGAGACCGGCTGCCCGTGTCGACGGAGAATCGAGCCGGTATCTAGGATCCCGCCAAGCAAAGAGCCCGCGCAGCCTGAAAGTTTGCGTCCCACAGCAAATCCAGAGGAGATAGAGTTCAGCTCCGCGCGCGCAGGGAGGGACGGTTGACGCGCCCGCGCATCGCGAAACTTCCGTTCCCGCGCCCCGCCCACTCAGGCAGGGCCGACTCAATGAGCCGCCACTTCCGTGCGCGCATGCGCGGTGGCGGGTCTGGCGCGTGCGCAGCGCTGTGTTCGTCCCAGCTCCTGCCTCTGCTGCTCACCCTCCTCCTCCGGTTCCCCACCCCCAGCCCGCCGCGGCCTGGTTATCAACGTGTGGTCCGGCCAGGGGAGCCGTGTGCGCCTCGTGCTCCCGGGTCGGCGGTGGTGTTTCCGGCTCTAGCCATGGATATGGAGCAAGTGAACGCGCTGTGCGAGGAGCTAGTGAAAGCGGTGACGGTCATGATGGACCCCAGCTCCACCCAGCGCTACCGGCTGGAAGCCCTCAAGGTAGCTGGGGTCCTGGCGCCCTGGGCCTGCCCCGAGACCCCCATCCCAGTTTTCCCCGACGGCCTTTCCAAGCTCATTTTGTCTCCCGCCTCTGCGGCCATTGGTCCTCCCACTCGCAGTTGGTACAGTGGCTTCTGGTCGCGCGGGCCGCCTCACCCCTTCTCGTTTGGGTCTTCTCTTCGCTTGCGCGCCTGTCCCTAAGTGCTGCGCATTCCCCAGCCACTTCGCAGTGGCCTTTCTGCCCACTGCTCACTTCTTTTCACGCTTGACCTCCCCACGGATCTCCACCACAGCAGGCTGCGCTCGTTCTGACGCCCGGGCAAGCCCCACATTGCCTGGCGTTCTAGGAGCGCACGTGCAAATTCTGTCCCCAGTGCCATCCTTATTGCATTGCCGATCCATTCCAGACTTGTGATTTCAAACTCCCGAGTATCCCTTTTTCTTACGGTCTTACATGACTTTTTTTCTAGTCTTGGGCATCTCTGGCTGATTTGTTAACACTCCACTGTTTATAGGTGTGAGATATTTTGCTATTTTTGCGCAAAGATGAACCTTACCACCGGCTTTGCATTTTCACAAGGGCACTTTGGTTTCCTGGAAATAGATTTCTTGAGTCCCAGGTGCTGCCCCAAGGTCTGTGTCAAGTTTTGCTATTTGGGAACCTGCAACAGAGCTTCTTCCCCATTAGAGTGAGCAACAACATATAGGTGTATGTGGTACAGGGTTTGGAATCAAACAGCTGTGTGTGTGTGTGTGTGTGTTTTTATTGTGAAGAGTTTTACTCAGGCACAGAAATAGAATACTACAGAGATCCCGAATAGGCCTGTGACCGAAACACAAATGCACAGATGTGTTTGTTTACTGCCTTTTCCTGTCACCCACAGTTTTTAAAGCTAATCCCAGGGGTTGCCATTCCCCCTCTATGGGTATATCTCTAACGTTTTTTCCTTCTTTTAGGGCTACTTTCTTTTTAGTGTTAACGTGATTACTGTGAAAGTGGATCATTAGTAATACTAATCTAGTTCTTGCAACTTAAAACACAGTGGAAAAGACAGGCCTATAATCCCCAGTACTCAGGAGACTAAGGCGGGAAATTCAAAAGTTAAAGACCAGCCCAGGCAATTTCGAGAGACCCTTTCTCCAGAAGTGAACAAACTGCTTAGAGGGTGAAGTGCTATTGTAGCTGCTGGGTGCTGGCACCCAAGCACAGCTGTGGAAGAGACTAGCAGACCCCTGAGTTTGCTGGCTCGCCAGTCTGGCTAAGAGAGAAGACATTCAGCTTCAGTTTCTGGCTTTCATTTGCTTGCTCAGCTACATACACATGCACATACGTAAATATACTGCATACACTTATCAAACAGAGAAAGCTGAGGATCTAGTTTAGAGACCGTGTGCTTGCCTGCCACACGGAAGGTTCAGTGCCCAGTGAAAATGCACGCGATCAGCTACGGTTGGAATTTTCTTGAGATGCATTTTCTCAGGTTTCCCCATGGAAATAATAATTTTTCTTCTTTCAGTTTTGTGAAGAGTTTAAAGAAAAGTGCCCTATCTGTGTCCCGTGTGGCTTGAGGTTGGCTGAAATAACACAGATTGCCATCGTCAGACATTTTGGCCTTCAGATCCTGGAACATGTTGTCAAGTAAGGAGCTCTTGGCCACTGCAATCTGCTGAAGAGAGCAACTCTTTAATCCTTTCATGACCTCCACAGGTGCTTTTCCAATGGCTAGGAGAGAACAGAACTCAGGGTTTTTACTTCTTGTTCAGTTAAGTCATCTCTGTAAATATGTTATACAAGCTAATCATTCAACAAGCCAGGCATAGTGGCTCACATTGGCCCTGCATGGAGAAACTGAAGCAGGAATATTGCCACAAGTTCAGGCTCACATAGGCTACATAGTTCCAGTATAGTGAGCTATAGAGTGAAACTTTGTATCAAGAAACCGAAATTTAAAAAAGAAACAGAGCACACACACACACACACACACACACCCCTTAGAGTTTCTCTGTGTAGCTTTGGACCCTGTCCTTGCACTCACAGAGATCCACCTGCCTCTGCCTTCCAAGTACAGCGATTAAAGGCATGCATGTGCCACCAACGCCCAGCCAGAAGAACTTTTTTTTATTTTTGAAAAGCATTGACACTGTAGATGCTAGATGGAATTTGTCTTTGAGCTGTCAACAGAATCAAGGAGAAAAGCTGATTTGTGACAAAAATCTCATGTAATGCTGGTTAATGCACAAAAGCATATACAGAGCTCCTCGAGACTCTGTGTTACTTGTTTAAAGTGGACTTTTGTTCATTCTCTAAGGAGCACAGAATCAAAAGTAGAATTTTTAAATAGGTCAACCTAATTATTTTATGTGTATAAGTGTTTTGTCTGCCTGTATGTATGTGCACCATGTGCATGCCTGGTGCCCACGGAGGCCAGAAGAGGATATTGCATCCCTTGGAACTGGATTTACAGATGGTGATGAGCTGCCATGTGGGTGCTGGCACCCAAACTCAAATCCTCTGCAAGAGTAGCAAGTACTCTTAACTGCTGAGCCATCTTTCCAGCACCAAGGATGTTTTTAAGAGTTTTTGTTTTGTTTTGTTTTGTTTTTTGAGACAGTTTTTCTGTGTAACAGTTCTGGCTATCCCTGGAACTCATTTTGTAGACCATGCTGACCTTGAACTCACTAAAATCCACCTGCCTCAGCCTTCCAAGTACTGGTATTAAAAGTGTGCACCACCACCACCCAGCAAGAATTTATTATTTTTAATTAATGTGCATTTGTATGGGTATGTGCTTGTGAGTGAATGTAGAGTGCACATAATGTGTATGTGATCATCATGGAGCTTACAGGTGTTTGTGTGCTGCCCAGCATAGGTGCTGGGAACCAAACTCAGATCTTCTTAATCACTGAGACACCTCTCCATCCTCGAAAGTGTGTTTGGGGGTGGGGAGCATGAGTTTTTGATTTCTTGAGACAGAGTCTCTCTATGATACCTTGACTGTCCTGGAATTCACTATGTAGACCAACCTGGCCTTGAAATCATAGATCCACCTGCTGCTACCTCCCTAATGCTGGGATAAAAGGTGACAACCATCATACCTGACCAAAAGTAGTTTTTTTTTGTTTGTTTGTTTGTTTTTTGTTTTTTGGTTTTTTTTTTTTAAGACAGGGTTTCTCTCTAACAGCTCTGGCTGTCCTGAAACTCTCTCTGTAGACCAGGCTGACTTCAGACTCACAGAGATCCACCTGCCTCTGCGTCCCAAATGCTGGGATTAAAGGCGTGCACCACCATAGCACAGCAAGTATAATTTCTTAATGAAACTTGTTACAAAATGTAAAGCAGGAAACAGATATTCTCTTATGAAGAAAAGTCTTCTAACATGGTTTTGTTGATTTTGTTTTGGTGGTCAGGTTTCGCTGGAACAGCATGTCACGATTGGAGAAGGTTTATCTGAAGAACAGTGTCATGGAGCTGCTCGTAAATGTGAGCAAAGGGTTGTTGGGAGGCTCGTGTTCCCAGACATCCACATGACCTTAAAGACAGAGCAGAGGAGATTAAACATCTCAGCAAATGAATGAATATGATTCTTAGATGTAGCCGGTATGGTCACACACCTTTTATCCCAGCACTGGGGAGGTAAAAGTGGGCAGATCTCAGAGTTCAAGGCCAGACAGGTCTACGTAGTGACTGCCAAGACGGCGAAGGCTACTTAGATCCTGCCTCAAAATAAATAGATAGATAAGATTCTTAGATGTAAATTAGTTGATTACCACCATTCACTTTGAATTTTTTTTCCTTTTTATTAAAGCTTAACTGCTGTGAGCCATGTGATGAAGCCATAGAGAATAGATTTGTTTCAGTCATTAATAAGATTTCAAACATGCTATAAATTGGTGGCCTTTTTATTTATTTAATTTAGTTAGTTTCACTATGTTCTGAGTGGTTTCAAACTATCCTCCTTCCCCTGCCTTCCAAGTACTGGGATTCCAGAGGTACTGTACCGTGTCCGGCTAGCCTTTTTTTTTTTTTTTTTTGAACTAGGACTTCTTTCTGTGTCCCATATTGGCCTCCACCTGCCTTCAGCCTCTTGCATTCTGGGACTGCAGGCATCAGCCACCATGCCCATCCTTTCTTTTATAAGAGTGTATTAACAGGGGGATACATGTGTAGTTAGTGGGGGTTTTTGAGATAGGTTCTCATGAAGCCCAGGGTAGCTTCAGTCTTGCTATATAGCTGAGAAAACTTATATTTTTGACCCTCCTGTGTACTGGGATTACAGACAAGTACTATCAACCTGACCTTCTCTACTTTTAATTGGGAAAAGATGTTTTACAAAATTAGATTAGTTTAACTAGTTATGACTTGTAATTTACTAGTCCTGTGGAGGCTAGCAGTGGTGAATTATCAGTTTTAATGTTTAAATTCGTGGGAGACAGTGACAGTTAATCTTTAATATTGGAACTACTGGTGTTACAGCACTCCTCGATGCCCTTGCAGTCTGTCAGTTTCCCAGTGCACATCTTACTTCTGCATCCCCTGTGATCTTCAAAACCATGAAGCAATACGAAAGCCTCTTCCATTTGTGAATAAGAGCAGCAGTGTTTTCCTGACTCTTGACAGCCACTTATTAGCTGTTGAAACTGTCGTTTATATTTTACGTGGGAACATGGATCACTGAGAACGCAAGACAAGTGATTCATACATGGAGAACAGGTTTAGGTTCAGAGGAGAATATTCTTTCAGTTCTCTGTGGAGGGTTGGGTGTGGTGTGAGTACTATGGCGTGCGTTGGGAGTCAGAGGACAACTAGAGGGGATCAGTTCTTTCCTTTTACCATGTGGGTTATGGGGATGGGACTGAGCTTGTCAGCCTTGGAGACAGCACCTTTCCTCACTGACACACACCTCTCACCCCTTCTTTTGAGGCACAGTTTCATGTGGATCAGGCTGGGCACAAAGTTGATATGTTGTAGAGAATGACACTATTCTGTCACTGTGTGTGCACTCAAGTGTATACGTAGCACAGACATTGATGAAGGTTAAAGGACAACTTTGAGAAGTCAGTTCTTTCCTTCTGCCACGGGTTTCTTGAGTGAACCAAATCATCAGGCTTACACAGAAAGCTTGTTTACCCGTTGAGCTGTCTCACTGGCTCAGAGGGTGACTTGACTTTCGATCCTCCTCCACTGCCCATATGTGAGATTACAGATGTGTGCCACCACACTCAGTTTATGTCCTGTTGGGGATTAAAGCCAGGACCCAGCAAATACTGTACCAACTGGGTCACATTTGAAGTCCAAGGGCTCTGAGTTTTTATGCTTAGAGTTTAGTCTTACTGTCTGCATAATGTCTTTCTTTCAGGGAACGTTGAGTATTCTGGAGGAGGAGAACCACATTAAAGATGTTCTGTCCAGAATTATGGTAGAGATGATCAAACGAGAATGGCCACAGCACTGGCCTGACCTGCTCTTGGAACTGGACACTCTCTCCAGACAAGGGGTATGGAGTGCGTGCGTGCTGGCTGTGTGCACTCATGGTTAGAGCAGTCACTGAGTTTGCTTTGTATTTGTGTTCACGGTTTATCAATAGCAGGTCATCTGTTAGCATATGTACACAATAAAGTGCTTTTGATTAACTAGCTTGTTTCTATTGGCCTAGGAAACGCAGAGGGAGTTAGTGATGTTTATCCTTTTGCGGTTGGCAGAGGATGTAGTGACCTTTCAGACACTTCCCACTCAAAGAAGAAGGGATATTCAGCAAACATTAACGCAGAACATGGAAAGAATCTTCAGCTTTCTGCTCAGCACACTTCAGGAAAATGTAAACAAGTACCAGCAAATGGTATGGATTCTTCCCCGCAAGGTCCTCTCTTCCCAGGCTGGAACTTACACCCTGCTTATATTCTGAGCACGCACTCTGCTGTGAAGCTGTACCTTTACCACACTCTTGCCTTTTGTTTTGAGTGAAGTTCTTGCTAAGTTGCCAAGGATGTCCTTGACCCCACTTACCATCCAAGCAGGCCATGAGTTTGTGATCCTTTCCTTTGCCCCCTGAGTAGCTGGGATTGCAGACCTATGCGCTGGGTACAGTAGATGTCTTGTATTTGACCTGAATGTAATGTTTTTTGTTTTGGGGTGTTTATTTGTTGTTTTTGTGAAAATGGCTTTCCATGGGGATATGAGAGTGTATGGTTTCGCAGAAAGAAAGGCCTTTTTCTTTTTTTTTCTTTTTTTTTTTGGAATGGGGAGTTTCAAGACAAGGTTTTTTTCTGTGTAAGAGTTCTGTCTGTCCTGAAACTTGCTTTATAGACCAGACTGGCCTCTAACTCACTAAGATCCACCTGCCTCTGCATCCGAAGTGCTGAAATTAAAGGCGTGCACCACCATCGCCTGGCAGGAAAGGTCATCTTAAGAGCAAAATTTCTAGGAAATGTCAGAAAAATTAAACCATTTTCTCAGATATTCAGCTCAATGAGTTTATATGTAAATTTCTTTCAAAATAAAAGCATTCTTTTAAAACAGCATAAGCCCAGGCATGGTGGCACACTCTTTTATTCCCATTACACGGAAGGCAGAGGGAAGCAGATTTCCCACGTTCCAAGCCAGCTTGGTATACTAGTGAGTTTCAGGTTAGCTAGGGGTACATAGTGAGACCTTGTCTGCAAAACCTAAGAAGCATAAAGCTGCAGTTTAAAATTTGTTATTAAAACTCTAGATGGTATTTGATTCCTAGCACCCCACATGGTATCTCACAGTCTTCTGGCATCAAGTCCCAGAGGCTCTCATGCCCTCTTCTGGCTTTCTTAAGAACCACACACACACTTGGTACCCATACACATAATCAATAAACAACAACCACAAAACCTTTTTAGATTTTTGACAAGTCTGTAAAGTCCTGATAAGTCAGGGTGTTCCTTTGGTCCTGGTTCCTTTTGCAGTGGGTTGGCTGCAATAGGTATTGTCACAGTGCGATGTGGTATTTTGTTCTCAGTGGGTTTTGCTTCTGCAGAAATGTTACAGGAAGAGGAGAGGGCTCTTTTCGTCCTGGCTGCCCAGCTAGCGTACACCTGAAATAATCACACAGAAACTGTATTAATTAAAACACTGCTTGGCCATTAGCTCTAGCCTCCTATTGGCTAACTCTCACATCTTGATTTAACCCATTTCTATTAATCTGCATGCCACCACGAGGTCATGGCTTACCGGGAAAGATTCAGCATGTCTGCATGTCTGACCTGGCACCTCCATGGTGGCACTATCTTGCGCTTGTTCTCTCTCTCTCTCTCTCTCTCTCTCTCTCTCTCTCTCTCTCTCTCTCTCTCTCTCTCTGACTCTGCTTCTTCCTCCCAGAATTCAGTTCTGTCTTCTCTGCCTCCCTAAGTTCTGCCCTATCAGGCCAAGCAGTTTCTTTATTGATTAACCAATGAAAGCAACACATAAACAGAAGGACCTCCTACACCACAGAAAAGAGTGGACAAACGCCTTTCTCACCTTTAATTTTTAGAAGGCATTTGAAAATTAATCTTGGAGTTTGAGAGATGGTTCCTCAGGAAAGAGTGCTGAGGACCTGTCTGGTTCCCAGCACTTACATGACATCCCATAACTGTAATCCCAACTCCAAAGGACCCCGTAACCTTTGGCTTCCACTGATACCTGTACACACGTGGCATGCACTCATGCAGACACACATATTTACATGAATGAAAATAATTTTTTTCTGTTTTTTTTCAAGGTAGGGTTTCCCTGTAGCTTTGGAACCTGTTCTAGATAGAACTAGCTCTTGTAGACCAGGCTGGCCTTGAACTCCCAGAGATCCACCTGTCTCTGTCTCCAGAGTGCTGGGATTAAAGGCATGTGCTACCACCACCCAGTGAAAATAAAAATCTTTTAAATAGAAAAAGTTAGCTGGTAATGGTAGTTCATGCCTTAAATCTCAACATTTGGCGGGCAGAGGCAGGAAGATCTCTGTGAGGTTGGGCCATCTGTGTTTTTAAAGTAAGTTCCAGGACAGGTCAGCCAGAGGTACATGTTGAAACCCTGTCTTGAAAATCCTTATGGCATATATATTTTTAAGATTTATTTATTATGTATACAGTATTCTGTCTGCATGTGTGCCTGAAGGCGAGAAGAGGGCACCAGCTCTCATTACAGATGGTTGTGAGCCACCCTGTGGTTGCTGGAAATTGAACTCAGACCTCTGGAAGGATAGCCAGTGCTCTTAACCACTGAGCCATCTCTCCAGCCCCCCCTAATAATTTGTATTACTATACAAAAACCCAGTAGGCAGTAGGAACTGAGGAAATGGTTCAGTGAATAAAGTTCTTGCCACACAAATATGAGGGCCCAAGCTAGGATCTCCAGCACCCACATGACGTCTTTGTGTGTGGCGTGTCTGTAATCCCAGTAATGAGCAATGGACACAGAACTTGCTAGATGGCTAGGCTAGCCAACTAATGAGATCTGGCTTCAGTCAAATACCCTTTCTCAAAAACAGGTGGAGAGCAATAGAAGATACACGATGTTGACCTCTAACCTCTATATCACTCCAACATACATGCACATATGTCTGTACACTGTATATGTATCATTTACATGTGCATATACCACATGTATATACCCTACAAAAAAAGAAGTTCAAGTTCACCCTCAGCTACGTATTTAAGGAGTCTATCTTAAAACAAAAATCAGAATCTATGTTCTCCCTTAGAAAATGTAATCCCTAGGAGTACCTTCTGTAAAATGGGTTAACTTCACAGAGGAAATCGGAGCAGGTTTGACTAGGCCTCAAGATAACTTTTCCTGAAACACTTATTTGTATTGTCTAATAAATAGCAGTAAATTAATGATGATATTCCTTAATTCTTGAAAGAATTCTGGATCAACATTTTTGGACCTCAGCAATATTTATACTTTGGGGGGTTGATTTCGAGACAAGGTTTATCTATAGAACAGCACTTGGTATCCTGGAACTCGCTTTGTAGGTAGACCAGGCTGACCTGGAACTCAGAGATATACCTGCCTCTGCCTTCCAAGAGCTGGGATTAAAGGCTTGAGCCACCATGCCCAGCTATTCTTAAATTTTTAAATGCTAGGTGTGGTAGTTCATACCTGTCATCCCACCCTCAGTGCAGGGCAAAGAAGTCAGGATATAAGGTTCTCCTCTGCCAGATGGAGTTCAAGGCCAGCGTCTAGTAAGTCAGACCCACTCTGGCTCAAATAGTCTTAAACACAGAAGACTTAGCACGTGGAGAGCTCCTCTTCATGCATTAAGGTCTGTGAACCGCTTCACAGTACTAAATGACCAAAAATGATTTTCTAAGCTGCAAAGTAACTGTAGGTAAGGGCACTTGCTGCAAGCCTGGCAGCCTGAGTCTCATCCCTGAGACCACTTGGTAGAAGGAGAGAATTGAACATGTTTTTGTTACACTTTGATCTCCACATCCATTCTGTCCTGCACACACAATATACTACAAATTATAAATGAACTCATTTATTATTTAATTTTTAGCACTTAGGGGCCAGAGGCAGACAGATATCTGTTTGAGGCTAGCCTGGTCCACATAGCCAGCCAGAGCTACATAGAGAGACCCTATCTCAAAAAACAATAGTAATAAGGAAGAAAAAAAAAGTTTTTTTATCTGTTCATCCCCTTGGGGTTCTTTCTCACTTTTTCTTAAAAAAAAAAATACATTTTCTCTGCTTACAAAACTTTTCCCTGTTGACAACTATTGTTAGAGCAGTCTATTGGTTTCTATATATTCGGCGCACTCAACAGAGTGTGTGCCAGAGCAACTCAGATTGGTGATGGCTTGAACATAAATTAGAAGTAAACACACAGGGGTCTCCTTCCTTCACTTTGTTACTCATGTGTGAGATATGGTCTCATATCCCAGGGTTGGCTTCAAACTCGCCATCCTACTGCCTCCACCTTCCAAATGCTGAGATTATAGACATGCGCTGTCTACCTGGCACTGGTATTTTGAATTTCTGTGTCATTCATTCTCCGTCCCAATTAATTTGTGTCCCTTCACAGACACAATTAAGGAGAGTACTGAATTTTGAACTCAGATAAATAAAGAGGCTTGCCTATTGGGTTCCATTCCCTGTCCTTCATTGGAATGGAAGAGAGAAGCTGGACCTAGCTGTTGTTGCTCAGATCCTCTGTGACTCGAGCGATAGTTGCCTTCAAGTACTGTAGGAAGTAATTACTTTTACTTGTTTTTATTTCTCCTTTTCTTGAGGAGTTTTAGGTATTTGAAACAGTCACCTGGCTGGCCTAGAGCTTGATACATAGGATAAGTAAAAATCAGCTGTATTTGTACATATTTTTGCATAGCAGCCATTACTTTGGTGTTTGGGTATGTATTTACTAATTTGTCATGCGTGATTTACTATAGTTATACATAGGTAGTCATAAACTTTATTCATTAGTTTTGTTTCTTTAACCTGTTTTTTGGTCAGTCTCTTGGTTGCCAATGTTACAAGCTGCTCAGACTTCTTATCTCAGCACTTGAGAGGCTGAGACAGGAGATACTCTCAGGTTGAGGTTAGCCTGGACTACATAGTGAGTTCCAGGCACACCAGAGCTGTACTAGCAAGACCTTGTCTGAAAAGAAACCAAAATAGTTGGCTCTATGTAAACCCTCATCCTTCCAGCACCTTCATTAGAGAGTAGTAAGTTATCGTGAGTCTTTTCCTCAGTAAACCCTTGGGTTCTTTATACTTCTCTTCCAGAAGACTGATGCTTCTCGGGAGGCGGAGGTAAGAGCACTGTGTGGAGTTGGAAGGATGCTTCTTAAAGTTCTCAGGTATGGGTAGGTGTGCCTAATGACTGCGGCCTCCGAATGGCCACAGCCTTCTAAAGCCCCCATCCTCACTTAACTATAGTAGGAGGTACAATGACAGTGTGGGAGTTTTTCAAAGAAGATATAATGCCATACTTGCCAATCTGTTGTTAGTGATCAGTGCTGAGGATGATAAGAAATGGTTCCATTATCGGGAAAGAAAGTTGAGCTCCCCATCAGTAATTATGCAAAAACTTTTTTGAATTATTTCTATTTCAGAATTTGAAAATAAGTTTTAATTCAGTCCCTCTTACTCAAGTGTTTTCACACAGGCTAAAGCAAACTGCCGAGTAAGCACTGCAACACTGAATACCCTGGCAGGCTATATTGACTGGGTGTCTCTGAATCACATTGTTGCTGAAAACTGCAAACTGCTGGAGACACTCTGCCTGCTTCTTAATGAAGAGGAGCTGCAGTTGGGAGCCGCTGAGTGTCTGCTCATTGCAGTCAGCAGAAAAGTAAGCCCTGGCTATCAGTGACAAAGGTGACTTGGGGAAGTGGTTCCAGAGGGATAGGAGGCCATCGTGACAGCAGCCATGGTAATAAGAATGGTTAGCTGAGAGAACTAGAAAAGGGAAGGCCGTATACTCTGAAAGACCCCCCCCCCCATTCACATTACTTCCTACAGCAAGAATGCACCTCCTACAGGTTCCATGTCCTCCCTCAAACAGCAGCACCACCTGGGACTTGTCACTATATTTAATTAAAGTAGCATTAAAGTTTAAAGCTTATTTTGATGCCAGTTAGAGGTATAGAAGATATCAGTACTATGAAGGGTTTTTTTTTTTTTTTTTTATTTTTTATACTATAGTTAGTATATATGACCATGTTTTCCTAAAATTGGATCCAGGGCAAGTTGGAAGACCGGAAACCGTTGATGATCTTATTTGGAGATGTTGCTATGCATTATATTCTCTCCGCTGCACAGTGAGTCTTTGCTTTCTATATCTTGTGGGGTTTTGTTGTGTTTTTTTGCTGTTTTACTTTCATTTTATGTACATCGTGTTTATAGATGTCCGTTTGTGCATGAAGGTCAGAGGTCAATACCAGTGTCTTCCTTTATTGCTGTGTACCTTGTTTTTTGAGCCAACATTTTACTGAACCTGGAACTCACTCACCTGGCTAGACTAGCTGGCCAATAATCTCTAAAGTCTGCCTGTTTCATCCTCCTGCACCAAGGTTACAGGTGCAAATCCAGCTCTTACAGGAGAGTCCAATTGTGGTCCTCATACAGGGCAGAACCTGTTGGTGCTATCCCCAGCCCTTAGTTTAGCTGGGTTTTTGTTGTTTGTTTGTTGCTTATTTTGGTGCTAAGCTTTGTACATGCTGAGAAAATACTGAAATACCACTGAGAGCCCACCTAGCCTTATAGTATGGTTTTATTTTTTAATAATTTTAATTTTTATTGAGAATAGCTTATTTTCATAGAATGTATTCTGACCACAGTTTCTTCTCCCCCAGGTCCTCCCAAGTACTCCCTCCTATAGTATGTTTTTCCTGGTGCGCATTTGTGTATGTATGTGTGTCTGAGAGAGAGACAGAGAATATGAATGAATGAGACACTATGAACCATCTCTCTGGGCCCACCCTTTGTGATGCTCTTATCTGAGTCCCAAAGACAAGTATGGAAAGGGGTGTAAGAAACAAGATGTGTTTGTTGCCTGTGATCCCTCACTATCCACTCTAATATGGCGTTTGCTGTCTTAAGAAGGATGCATCTGTTTTTAAGGAATTCTGTTACCTGAATAATATATATCTTTGGCTGTCACTGTGGTTACTGCTCCTAAGGTCTAGCTCTTAAATCTTTAGCAACTGTGATATGCTCCCAGAGGTCTCCAGTTGGTACATGCTGTACCCACTCACAGTTAGGAAGGCTGTGGTTCAGAATAGGCAGGCTGCAGAATGTGCTGTCTGTCTGCATCCCTCCAGTCTCTGGTTCCCCTGAGACCGGGTTTTCTCATCCTCCTGCCTTGAGGTCTCAGTTATTGCTTCTGCAATGCACATGAGTTGTTACTTCTGAGTGTAACACCCGGTTTTGGTGTTACACCCTCGGTACAGTTCGCGCGCAGCTGTACCGAATGCGAGTCCGGGCAAGGGCCTGGAGATTGAACACAAGAGACAGAGACCAGGGTCATTCGATAGGAGATCAAGGAGATCAAGCGAATGCCGTTTATTCAGACTTGGGGAAGCCCTTTTCTACCTAACTGCAGCACAAAGATCTCTCCGCCCAGGAAGGTGGGAAATTACCATATTAACAATGGAGAAGATTGCCTGCAGCTAAATCACCAGGTGGGGCAGGGATAGCACGGAAACACACAGGAAGCTTAGTTAACTGATAACAAACTGTCCCCGCCAATGCACCCCAGGAATAAGGGAGACCAGGGGCCCACAGGTCCCCCCTTAATATAAATTATGACTAGGCCTGTCTTGGGTGGCCTTGGACGTCAGGCAATACCCCTTACCCGTCATTGGAAAGCATCCAGGTCAAAACACATTTCCTGTCTTAGGTTGAGGCAGCCCCCCAAAAGCCTTTCCCGTCTTTGGCTCACTAGTCATTCAACACCGAGTTCAGCCAGATTTGTGCTGAAAGATTCTCTGGGGCAATAGCTAAGAGGACTTGCCATGTGGCAACATAGACCTGAGCTTGCCTTTGGCTCTGGCATCATAACTATGAAGATGATGCTCCAGCACATATATAAGCATCCCATAAGGTGACTGTGTTTGCTCAATACTTATTAATACTGCCCAAAATTGGAGCCCTTCAAGTAAGGTCTCAGCGCTGGTGAAAGGAACCCTGGTATAGCTAGCTAAAACAATTTTAAGAGCCAATTTGTAAATTGCACACCTCAGGGTCCGTGAATAACAACAATAAGCTTATAACTGTAATATCTAGCAGTGGTCTTTAACCACAACCAAGAACAAAATTAACTGCAATATTCATATGTAAATTTAGCTCAAATTTAGCTATGGCATTTGCAACCTGCCCTGAGAAGGTATCCTTGTGCTAGCAGGAAGCAACTGACTGACTAAAGAAAATCCAGCAGCATTAGCTGCTGTGGCAGCAACAGCAATGGCTGCCAGTATCATGAGAAGGGTAGATGGGTAGAGGGACAATCCTTGGCACTCGGACCACCGCAGCCAGCTCCTCAGGAAATCCGCAACTCTTCAGTTGACAAGCCAGAATCTCCTTGATCTCTTGGCTCTGTCCTGTCTTCAGGCTTCTGGACAGGAAAATCCACAGCACGCACCAGCCGCTCAGGTACCCATATTGGATTGTCAGCATCCTGCGGGAAAACACAAACAGCCCCTCTTCCCCACACCAGTACGGGATCTGGACCATACCAGGTGCCATCTGATAGATTCTTCCATTTTACATGAGGCATCCCGGAAGAATCTGGCCGCCAATGCCTGTCAGCGGCGGTATGAGATTGAGCATCAACTGTCAAAAAATTTAGAATGTATAAAATGAAAGACAAATGCTCTCGGGGGGTGGAACCATATTCCCCCTTTTTTGTTTTATGCAAATAGGCTTTGAGCGTACGATGCGCTCGCTCGACTATAGCTTGTCCTTGAGGATTATAAGGTATTCCTGTTTTGTGAGAAATTGAAAACTCAGAGCAAAATTTAGCAAAGCCAGTGCTAGCATAGGCAGGTCCATTATCAGTCTTTACAATTTTAGGAACTCCCATGTAGGCAAAAGCCTGGAGACAATGACTTTTAACATCTCGTAATCTTTCTCCTGTGTGAGCCGAGGCAAAAATGAGATGAGAATATGTATCCACGGTTACGTGAACATATTGCATGCGCCCAAAAGAAGGAACATGGGTGACATCCATTTGACATAAATGATTAGGAGCAAGCCCATGAGGACTAACTCCCAAATGGGGAACAGTTAAAAGTTTTGCACACAGAGAACATTTTTTAACAATATTAGTGGCTTGCTCTCGAGATATCTTGAAATGAAATCTTAAGGATCCAGCATATTGTCCTTCACCAGTTAGTTTGTCAAGATTATTCTGGGGGAAGCCTGCTACAGCATTTTTGACTGCAGTCTTTTTGCAATTTTCCTGCATCTCACCTCTCCATAACAAATAATCTCCCCCTGAAAGACAAGCCCTGCAAAGCTGCATCCAATCATTGGGTATAAGGTTGAGTTCTGCAAAGGATTCTAACAAAGCTACAGTGAAAGGAGCGTGAGCTCCATAGTCCACAACTGCTTCTTTTAACTGTTTAATGTCCTTAAAGGCCAGGGGGTTATGCTGCCTGGCTCTCTGTCCCTGCTGATCAATCTTTTCCACAACAGGATAAATCTGTTTCTCAATTTGCTTTTCTCTACTTAGTTTATTTAACCTCTCCCGGATCTCTCGGATTTCTGCCTCTAAGTCTATAGGGGCAGAAGCAGTAGTACCAGGATTTTGCGGAGGAGGTCTCATGGAGACATCTCCGTTTGCTTTCTTTCTTTTTTTTTTTTTCTAACTTCTTTTTTATCAGTGTGATCTCCTTTTTTAAAATTTTTTCTTTTTTTTTATATTCTCACTAATACTACCTGTTCCTAAAACTTTCTGTTCCTCAAAACTCTTAATAGAACTTACAGCTTCTACTTCCTGAATCTCCTCAAGGGTTTTGTTTAAACATTCCAATTGCTCTTTGACTCTAACATCATCACTAAGAAGAGCATCTCTGACCAAGCGCCATAGTGAAAATATCGCCATGGGGACTTCAAGTGGCCCTCGCTCTTTCAGAGCATCTTGAAGATCAGCCTTTACCTGATCCCAATCAGTAATATTAAAACCTCCTGCATGTAGGAACCAGGGACTAAACTTTAAAACTGTCTTAATGGTCTCTACTGCTGTCTCAACTTTAATACCGGTGCCTCTATTATCCAAAAGACCTAACAACTGGCCTGTTAACCGGCCCTCCAACCCAGGAACAGAATAACTTGCACCCATAACCAATTCACCCTCGCCACACAATTTTTTACCTTGCTGGCCAGTCTTCCCGAGGGCGACCTCTCAGGGATTTCCTACTTCCCGATCTCGCTGGGTCTAGTTGCCGAAGATGATCATCCCAGCGGGGCCTCCAATTGTAACACCCGGTTTTGGTGTTACACCCTCGGTACAGTTCGCGCGCAGCTGTACCGAATGCGAGTCCGGGCAAGGGCCTGGAGATTGAACACAAGAGACAGAGACCAGGGTCATTCGATAGGAGATCAAGCGAATGCCGTTTATTCAGACTTGGGGAAGCCCTTTTCTACCTAACTGCAGCACAAAGATCTCTCCGCCCAGGAAGGTGGGAAATTACCATATTAACAATGGAGAAGATTGCCTGCAGCTAAATCACCAGGTGGGGCAGGGATAGCACGGAAACACACAGGAAGCTTAGTTAACTGATAACAAACTGTCCCCGCCAATGCACCCCAGGAATAAGGGAGACCAGGCGCCCACATCTGAGGTTCAGTTATCTTCTTTGTCTTAGGCTAATTTTCACCAACAAAAAAACTCAGATATAGTCTCTTTTGTTGTGTGTATTTGTTTTTATGAGAGCTATTTGATTACGGATGAATTACAGACCTAAACTCTGGAGGAAATTTAGGAAAGTGAGACACTTTATTTTGCTTGTTTTTTTGTTTGTTGGTTTGTTTTTGTTTTTGTTTTTTTTGAGACAGGGTATCACTATATAGCCCTAGCTGTTCTGGAACTCAGTACATAGACCAGGCTAGCCTCGAATCCTAAGAAATGCCTGTCTTTCTTAGGATTAAAGGTGTGTACCACCATGCTTAAAACAAAATATTATTTTAATTATATTTATCTATTTTTATTTGCATGGAAGTATACACAGGCACACATTATGGTATGTATTTGATCAGAGGACATTTGTAAGATCCAGTTTTCTCCTACCACCCAGTGGGTCCCAGGAATTGAGCTCAAATCTTTGCACTTGGCAGCAAGTGCCTCTCTCTACCTGCTAAGCCATCTGACTGGCTGAAGACATAAAGTATTTTTATTCTATCCTTTTTTGATCCCTGGTGTAAGTAATCATTACATTAATGCCATGTTTTCCAATGCTAAGAATCTCTGCAAGATCTCCCCGGGTCTCAACCAGTGTTTTTGTGCGGCTGCTTCTGGGTGTATGTGCTGTCTCTATCAGTCACACACAAATCAAGTCCTAAAGTATTAAGCACTTTTATCGTGTCCAGATCAGAGTGTTTAATGATGAGGCAAGAAACTGCATTGAAACCATATCCCACATCAGACAAAGCTGGGCTTTGTCACTCATGGTTTGAAACGGGGTCTCACTTTGTCTCCCTGGCTGATCTGGAACTAGCTAGACTCCTATGTGCTGGGGTCAAAGGCAAGTGCCACCATGCTGGCTTGTTGAGTTGTCTGCTTGTTTGCTTGTTTTTTGAGACAGCCTTCCGTTTACAGGCCAGGCTGACCTTGAACTCAACAGAGTTTGCCTCTGCCACCACAACTGGCTTGTTGTTTTTTGACTTAGTAAACACTAAAATTGTATTGGTGAGGCCCAGGCAGTAGACGTTCTTCCTGGTGGGACTCCTTGCTTTTGTTGACATGTAACTAATCATACAATTCTCTTCCTTAACAGGACTGCAGATGGAGGAGGCTTGGAAGAAAAACACTACCTCTTCCTGAAAAGACTTTGTCAGGTGTTATGTGCACTGGGCAATCTTCTGTGTGCACTGCTGGTGAGCAAGTGTGCTCTGGAGAGCATGGGGCTGCTTGAGGGATCATTTTCTTAGGAATCAGAAGCACTGCCGCTTCACTGATGGGATAGATGAGGCATTGCTCTACCAGTTTTTTCACATGATTTTATACAGTAAATCATCTTCAATAAAAAGGTGGGCGTGGATGCATAGGTTGATGTTGTTGGGTTCTTTGATTTTTTTTTTTTATATTTATTATCTATTTATACAATGTTCTGCCTGTATGTCTACCAGAAGAGCGCACTAGGTCTCATCATGGGTGGTTGTGAGCCACCATATGGTTTCTGGGAATTGAACTCAGGACCTCTGGAAGAGCAGCCGCTGCTCTTAACCACTGAGCCATCTCTCCAGCCCAATGTTGTTGTTTTTTTTTGTTGGTGGCAGTTTGCTTGTTGTTGACATAGAATCTTACTATGTAGCCCTGGCTGGCCTGGGACTCACAGTGTAGACCACGCTGGCCTCAGACTCACAGATCCACCTGCCTCTGCCTTTCAGAGCTGGGATTAAAGAACTGTAACCACACCTGGATTGAATGGATATTTAACAGATTGAGTCACAAAAATATAAATAGAATAGGTCTGATGAAATAATCTTTTTTTTTTCTTTCTTTTTTCTTAAAGACAGGGTTTCTTCATGTAATAGCTCTGGCTAATTTGGAACTTGCTATATAGACCTTGCTCTGTAGACCAGGCTAGCCTGAAACTCATAGATTCTTTTGCCTCTGTCTGCTGAGTGCTGAAATTAAAGGCATGCACCACCACCACTCGGCTACTACTGTCTTCTTCTAGCCTTGGTTTTAAATTTCTGAGACAGTATCTCTTTGTAATTTAGTCTATTTTTAAACTCAGCATACTTCTGCCTTAGCTTTCCTAGTGTTAAGATAACAGGTGTGTACCAATACATCTAGTCTTCAAAATGTTATTTCTGTTATCTGTTTATTACTCATTCCCCTACTTTCCCTGAGCCATCTCCCTTCAGCTGGTTCCTACTCAGTACCTTTAATGTGGTCTTTTTCTTCTTTAGGGCTTAGATGCTAATATACAAACACCAGTAAACTTTGGAAAATACCTGGAATCTTTTCTTGCTTTCACAACCCATCCAAGTCAGGTAAAAAAACTTTATACAAATAACTTAACAAACTTTGTATGTCAACTGACGTTAAGTATTGTGTCCTGGAGTAATTCCTACGTGTGTGCAAATGTCACTGGACCTACGGAATGACAGCTGGGGGTAAGAAGCACTGCTACACCAGCCTGGCAGTGTGAGCTCAGGCCCTGAGACTAACAGTGACAGGAGAGAGAACCAGCTTCTGAAACTTGGCCTCTGACCTCTGGCTGTAACACACAGAGCCACACACAATAATAAATAAGTAAATAAATAAACAAGCAAACATTTTATCAAAGAATTATTGACTGTTCCTCGAGCATGTCACTGTCTTGCTCAGCAGGTTTCCACACAGGTGGCTTTCTGATTGTGCTCCGTGAGATGGGTTGTGGCCCTGTTGATTTAAACAAGAAAAAATTTAAATCCAAGATTAGTGAGTTGTGTTACTTTGATTGATTACATTCACTTTGTGATCCTAGTGCCATCTGAACAGAGAAAGGGTTAAGTGACATCCTTACCATGCTCCAAGGGTTCACACCTGACCCACTTGCCTCTGCATGTCATTGTCCAGTCACCCATTGCTGATGTACTGCAGAAGTGATTGCAAAATGCAGAGATTTCCTCCTGTAAAATGGTTGTTGATAAATGTTAGGCTGAGTAACAATCTTGGTCAAGGCATATCCAAACCCATAGGCTAAGCTGTATGGATTTTTGTTTTGGTTTAGTTTCTACGCTCTTCAACTCATATGACCTGGGGCGCCCTCTTCAGGCATGAGATTCTATCCCGTGATCCTTCGCTGTTAGCAATAATACCAAAATATCTTCGTGCATCCATGACCAACTTAGTTAAGGTAAGTAATGGAAACCCTAAGTTGCAGAGTTGTTGAGCAGACAGAAGACTTTGATTGGCATGAGTCTCTTTAAATCCTCTAAGGAAGTTTTCTTATTGAGGAAGGAAGCTGTTCAGAATGGTCCTAAGAAAAGAACAGGGCCATGAGCTAATCGCTGCTGAGGAATTAAAAGCAGATTTAGTAGACCGTTTTGGAAATACAAGATGGTGGAACCAGGTAGATTCTAAGATGGAATCATATCTAAGGATTGTTTCTGAAGGGCATGTGCAAGTTGGGCATGCACGTGAGGAATGAGGGTAGCAGCTGTGATTGCTCCCCCTTCAAAGACTTGTTTATAGAAATTCTCAGATCTGCTAAGAGCTGCAGCTGGAGGACCTCCCTTCTTACCTTCCTTCCAGGCCTTATACATGCAAGGCAAGATGCATACGTACATACAAACACACCCTAGCCCTCATTGTAGATTGTAAGGTCATAGAGTGGGACTCTAGTTCCTCACGAATTTATCTAACACATACTGTGTTCTGGTTTTATGGTACTTTTTTTGTTTGTTTGTTTTATGTTTTGGTTTGTTTTTTGAGACAGGGTCTCACTGTAACTCAGTCTGTCCTGGAAGGGCTGTGTAGCTAAAGCTATCCTTGAACTTGGAGATCATCTTACCTTTTCTCAAATGCTGGGATTGTAGATGTGTGCCATCATACTCAGCTTGGTTGTGTAATATGATGAAACAAGCAATCGCTGATCCCTCAAATTTATTGCATATGGAATTAGTACTTCTTCTTGAGCTATGTTCATACTTGGATCTTAATGAACCCTGGGAGTTATCGTCCCTGAGGAGTCCCGAGGAGCATATCAGCTGGCTGCGTTCTCCTTGAGTTACTATCTAGAGTGCAGCTGGAGTGCTGGCTGGATTTGGGGTAGAACAGACGTAGTTGCTGTCATGCAAACCCTTAGTTCCTCTTAGGTGAATCATGAAGGACTTTGGTCACGTACTCTTCAGTAGGTCCATTCTTTTCCCCAATTGTCTTTCTTATTCCAGATGGGCTTTCCTTCTAAGACAGACAGCCCCAGCTGTGAATATTCTCGGTTTGACTTTGATAGTGATGAGGACTTCAATGCTTTCTTCAATGGTAAGCTTCCTTCCAGCACTCTCAGAATGGCATTTTGTGCTGTGATCGTGGCTGTGACGCATCTTCAAACCTGGAAAACAATCTGAAGTTCCAGATTCTTGCAGAAGGATGCTGCCACATTTCAACACCGCTCTATGCCCATGAATTGTGTTTATCCCTTTCAGTACCCTCTTTTGCTGAACTTTTTGAGAAATAAGGCTGTTCAAGAATCCTATAATGAGCCACTGTTAGATCTAGACCATGAACGTCACCCCAGTCCTCACAGCTGGATAAATGACTGGCTGCTGAGTACTGCATGCCAGGTGTTGACCCATGTTCTTCTCTGTCAGCTTCCCGAGCCCAGCAAGGCGAAGTGCTGAGATGGGTGTGCCGCCTGGATACCAAGACCAGCTTCCAGATGGCCGCAGAGTGGCTCAAGTACCAGCTGTCGGCTCCTATTGACACGGGACCTGTGAACTGTTAGTTATTCTGCTTTTTGTCTTATTGCTAAATGTTAATGTTGTATGAAAACTGTGTATAGGAGATAAGCCAGAGTTACATATCAGAGCAGTTTGCTAATACTGTTTAAAAAAAAAAAAAAATCCCATTGACCACTGCCTACTTCCTTTCCCCTAGGTAATGTTTTCCTTTGATCAT